TTCCACCTCAGCCTCCCAAAGGCGTGGGATTACAAGCTGAGCCACCGAGCCCAGCTATATATATATATAATTTTAAAGAGATGTGGGGTACAATTCAGGATTAGGTATATGAGTGGGCATCATACAGGTGAAGTTTAGGCCTCCCTTTGGTCCCCACTTTGCCTGGTTTGAGATCAGGTACCCTTGTTAATGTTGTGTGTGCCCACCTCCACCCAGGCAATATTCTGCTCTGCCAATCCCTTTCGTATTATGGTAAATGTTCAGGGTCCGCTTATGAGTGAGAACATGTAGTATTCTGTTCTTTGTTTCTGTGACAGATCACTGAGTATGATAGACTCTAAATCCATCCAAGTTGCTGCAAAGTCCATATGTTTGTCCTTTATGGCTGCAGAATATTCTGTGTACCACATTTTTTTAATCCAGTCCAGTTTCGATGGGCAGCATGATAACGGGGGAATTACATAAAGTTGGCTCATATTTATGAAATATAATGAAGTATTTATTCAGATAGCTCCTCAGATGCTACAAAGGAGAAATAACGTTGCACATGCAGAAAATTAGCATATTATATGTATGTAAATAATATAAGAATTTTAAGTGGAAGCTATTATTAAATGATTAGCAAATAATTCATATGTACAGAAATAAAGGAATGCATGTGAACCCTTTAATAGCCTCTCATCTTCTTCCTAACAGCCTGAAACTCACATTAGAGAGGGCCCTTTTGAAGATATTGAATATGGGGATGCTTTCACTCAAAATCACACGTTAAATCCACATATATTAATTCACAATGGAGAGAAACTCTGTAGAAGTAATGAATGTGGAAAGATTCATCCTTCGTCTTTCAGTAAACATAAGCTGATTTATACTGGAGAAAAGCCATATAGATGTCACCTGTGTGAAAAAGCCTTTAAAACTTGGTCTAACCTTATACAGCATAAAAAGTCTCACAGTAAAGGGAAGCCACCTGAATACCGTCTATTTGGGAAAGGCTTGGGTCACAGTTCTGTTCTTAGAAATGAGAGAATTCACTCGCGAGATAAACCCTATCAGGATCTTGACTGTGGGAAGGAATTGTGGCAAAAGATTCAGCTTTTTATACATCAGAGTCCTCACGCTGGAGAGAAACCATATGAATGTCATATGTGTAGGAAAGCCTTTACTTGTGGCACTTACCTTAGACGGCATGAGAGAACCCACACTGGACAGAAATCAAATAAGTGCAATGAGTGTGGAAAACAATTCACCCAGAGCAATCATTTATATTCACACCAAAAATCTCACAGAGAAGAGCAACATTATCTCTGTAATCAGTGTGGGAGAACCTTCAGTAACTCAACGTCCTTCAGTAAACATAAGCGAATTCACACTGGAGAGAAACCATATGAATGCCACCTCTGTGGGAAAGCCTTTGTTCAAAGTTGTGGCCTTAAACGACATCAGATAACTCACACTGGGGAGAAACCATACGAATGCCATCTATGTGGAAAAGCCTTTGGTCAACGTTGTGTCCTTAAACGACATCTGAGAACTCACACTAAAGAGAAACCATACGAATGCCATCTGTGTGGAAAAGCCTTTGGTCGCAGTTCTGTTCTTAGACAGCATGAGATGATTCACTCAAAAGATAAACCCTATAAATGTCACGACTGTGGGAAAGAATTCTGTCAAAAGATTCCTCTCTCTAGACATCAGAGTTCTCATGCTGGAGAGCGACCGTATGGATGTCAGGTATGTGGAAAAGCTTTTATCTGCGGCACCTACCTTAGGCAGCATGAGAAAATCCACACTGGAGAGAAACCATTTGAATGCCATGTATGCGGAAAAGCCTTTACCCTTGGTACTTACCTTAGGCAACATGAGAGAACCCACACTGGAAAGAAACCATACGAATGTCACGAATGTGGGAAATCCTTTGGTCGGAGTAACGACCTTAAACGACATCAGAAATCTCACACCGGAGAGAAACCATATAAATGCCATCTATGTGGAAAAGGCTTTGGTCGAAGGTCTGTCCTTAGACTTCATGAGATAATTCACACAGGAGTAAAACCTCATAAATGTCATGTCTGTGGGAAAGGATTCTTTCAAAAAGGTCAGCTTTCTATACATGAAAGAATTCATACTGGAGAGAAACTGTATAAGTGCAACCAGTGTGGAGAGCGGTTCACCAAAAGGAATTACTTATATTCACACCAAAGAATTCACACAGGAGAAAAACCTTTTGTCTGTAACCAGTGTGGTAGAACTTTCAGTAACTCAGCATCCTTCAGTCAGCATAAGCGAATTCACACCGGAGAGAAGCCATATGAATGTCATGTATGTGGGAAAGCCTTTGCCCATAGCACTCACCTTAGCCAACATGAGAAATCTCACATTGGGAAGAAATCATATGCTTCTCAGCTGTGTGAAAAGGCCTTTAAAATTGCTCTAACCTTGGAAAGCACTAAATAATTCACACTGTTACAAGCCTTATGAAGGTTATCTGTATGGGAAAACCTTGGGTCAGTTCTCTGATCTTAGACTATATGAGAGAATTCACATTTGAGAGGACCCTATGTATCCAAATAATGTGGAAAACAGTACAACCAGAGTGGTCAGGTTTCTTTATACCAAAAAGATCACATGGGAGAGAAAACATCAATGTTGTCAGCATTGTAAAGCCTTTAGTGAATGTTCTGACCTAGATAACATGAGCGAACTCGGATTTCATAAATGGAATGAATGTGGAGGATCCTTAGCTACAGCTCTAGCAATAACCAACCTAGAGACCCACACAGTGGGAAAATTCTAGGGCCCCAGTCAATTTGAAAATGCTTCATTTATCACTTCTTTTTAAAGAGCAGGGGAGAATTTCACCTGAAGAAACTCTGTTGTATAATCACTATGGAGGACACTTTAGCTGTGCTGTACTCCTAGTGTGCACAAGAAACTCAGAGTAGGAATTACACCTCCCAAGTAGAAATTATATAGGAAAGTCACTCTCAGTATGAGTCTCTGACACTGGGCTTGAAAAAGCTAAATCCCTAGAAGCGGTTTTTCTGGCTCAATGCTAAATGCACAGGGAGTTTTGTCAGACATTGTCCAATGTTTCCCCAGGGCTACTGTCTTGATCTACATTCCCCACCAGGAATGGAAGAGTCTTTCCTCACAGCCAGGCCAGTTGACAGTTCGGTAAAGCTTTTGAAAAGTTTTGTGACAATTTGAGAGTTTGAGTGACATCTCATTATAGCTTTGATATGCATTTCTCTCACTATGAATGGAATTGTGATCTTTCCTGTAAAGACCATTATTTCACTATGTTGATTGTTTTGATTACCAATTTTGCAATACAGTAGTATCTTTCAAATTTTATTTGTATTTTCACTTTGTTTATGGTTTTTGGCCTAGAAAAAGTTTCTTTTTAAAAAATTGTTATGCAGTAGTTTATCAATGTGTTCTTTTATTGCATTCGAATTTTTGGAGCATGGTTAAAAGTGTTTATCCTCATGTTATGGAATCCCCATTTTCTTCTAGTTTTTGTAGGTTTTTATTTCTGTATTTAAATCTCTGATTCATAAGGAGTTCATTTGGTGAAAGGAGTGAGATACGAATCTACTTCTTGTATTTCCAAATGACTATCTAGTTTCCCCAACTTAATTTAATTAATTAATTTATTTATTTATTTTTTGGAGTCTCACCCTGTCGCCCAGGATGAAGTGCAGTGGCAAGCTCACAGCCACTCCAGCGTTGACCTGCTGGGTCAGGTGGTCCTTCTGCCTCAGCCCTCCAAGTAGCTGGAACTACAGGTGCACACTGCCACACCCGGCTAGCTTTTTGACTTCTGTATTGTAGCCATGAGGTCTCGCCAGGTTGTCCAGGCTGTGGCTCGTGCATCCTCTCACCTCTGCCTCCCAAAGTGCTGGGATTACAGGCTTGAGCCACCAAGCCCAACCACATCATTTATTTTAGATTCCATCTTTTCCTCAATGGTTTGGGATGACATCTTTATTATGTCATAAGTTTCCAAAAATTAGTAGGAATTATTAACAGACTTTACTTTTTTCCATGAGTGTATTACACTGTTTCAACACTTCTGCATTTGTAGCTGACATTAGAGTATCTGGTTGTTGCCTCACCTCCCCCCCTCCCAGTTTCTCTTTTCTTTTGTCCCCTTCCCAGCTCCCAGAAATGAGAACAACTTAATTTTGTCATGTTTTGCTATGGGCATTTCATTGTCACAATTTTATTCACTTTGCATTATTTGATTACCACCCTAGCTGAGCTTAAAAATACTTTGTTAGATTTATTACTAGTGATGTGATGGTTTTATTCATGTATTACACTACTTCACTAAATGTACATGGTCTTCATGATATCTTTGAATGTTAAGCAAAAGAAACATTTCAAAAAAATTGCTGCTAATCAATATTGTGTGTGAATGTTTAATATGCTGTAGAAACCACTGTGCTGTAAGATCCCTTATAGAGAGATTTTTGGATACTGTATTTGATTTACATTGTTTTCTTTTTTTTTTGTCTTACGTTATTCAGAAAGTGTTTTGTCGATATTTGTAATACAGATATGCCTTTTACTAGGACATCAGATGCAATAACATATTTACAGAATATGCTTTCCAAGTAACTCGATTTCTTATTGCATGTATAAAATGATCTACTGCACGACACAAAATGTGAAATTGATAGCAGCAGACAGCTGAACAATGGGGTCACATAAAGGTAAAGCTAGTCTTGTGTATTTCCATTACAATTGATTATGTATTTAAGATGTCCTACCCCAAAATCCAAAATCCTCAGACTAACCAAATAAAGTAAGTACAGCATAAGGGGGTTAACAACCAGTGGATTGAATAGTTTCCCTTGACAATTAGCTTAGATGGCCTAAGAAAAAATGCCATATTGTAATAAAATACCAAGTTCTGGAAGCTCCTATGTAGTTATTTCTTGGATATAATTAGGAACAAATTTATAATGAAAACAATCAAGAACTGGTATAGACATGAATTACAGTGCTTAGTGTTTTGCCCTGGAACCTTCTGCAACACCTAGGTCTGTGGTCTGTGAGTTCTGAATACAAGTCTGGTACCCACGCTACCCCTTGCTCTGCCCAAACTGTTCTCCTGTATTAGTTCTCCTGTATTAGCTCGTCTCCCCTGAGAGGTCCCATCGCTGAGGTCTCTCCACTCCAATAGCATTGATCTAGAAAAACAGACATGGGAAAAGGAAAACAAGAGTCGGTCGCTTATGTAATCCGCCCTTAGGTTCCCTTATCTCATCGATGGATATTGTTTTCAAACACTGGGAAATGTGGGTATCAATGAATGCAGAGGCAGGAAGACATAGGACATAAGAGGATCCCAAGTCTGTGCCAATCCAAAAGATGAGATGAAGGACACCGTGTGCTAAAACAGAAGAAAAAAACCACACTTTTCCATCATCTGAAGCTCATGGCTGCCTCGGGCAACTGAGCAGAGTGTGTTCTCCAGACTAGAGTTCCACCTCACATCACAGTTTGGACAGTCTGAAAGGGTCCTTGAGTGAGAAGAGGATGATGAACCCAAGGCTGGGCCTCACTCTCTGGACCAGCAGCTTCCACCATTCATCAGGACCGCAAAACACACCACTGGCAAAAAGGGAGGATCAGGGTCTTCCTACATAATCCTGAGCCTCTCAGATGTCCCGAGTACCCTCCAGTGGAAAGATAAGGCTGATGCCGAACTGGAAGGCGTGGAACAAGCAACTTACTTGTCCAAGCACATGCAGTAAAGTCCTTCAGAGAGCCCTGGGAAGAATCGCAAGCCTGCGTCAACCCCTGCTGGCTGGGAAGCAACTGGCTTGAAGTCCTACCTACCTGGTTAGTGAAGGAGTTAAAATATACCACTTGGGCATATCACCTACTCCACTTTCAGTGCATTTGAATAGCAGTGGGTGCTAGAAGGTCATTCTGACTTCTGTTTCTTAAAGGTAGGCGATGAAGGCCAGTCGTGGTGACTCAAGCCTGTAATCCCAGCACTTTGGGAGGCCGAGGCAAGAGGATTGCCTGAGCCCAGGGGTTCAAGACCAGCCTGGGCAACTTGGTGAGACTGCGTCTCTACAATATATCAAAAAATCTACAATATATCAAAAAATACACACCTGTAGTTCCAGCTACTTGAAAGGTTGAGATGGATCTCCTGAGCCCAGCAGGTCAAGGCTGCAGTGGCGGTGAGCATGCCACTGCCCTCCAGCCTGGGCAACAGAGTGAGACTCTGACCAAAAAAAGAGGAGGATACGCAATTCCCACATGAGAAACACTGTGTAATGTAACGGGAGGAATAGCAACATCCTTGCCTCCACGGACTAAAAGTTGAGACCCGGAGTCATTTTTTCTTTTGTATTGCCGCAAACCCAGAGGTCTCTTGATTTTATGTAGATCTTTTAAAAATAACATCTTGAGCCTTCTCGTTGAACTCAGTCGCTTCTTCGTGACCTGCTCCTCTCTGTCCAAGTCTTTGTACAAATACCTGACGCCAGCTGCTCTCCGGATTCCTCTTTCCTTTTTGAGCGCTCCCCTGCCACGCTAAGTTTGCCTTAAGTAAACGGGGCTGCTCTTCGTGCGACCTGCCTCCCGCCCACTCAGCCCCCAGGCCGGCTCGCAGCAGGCCCGGAGCGGAGGCGCGGGGTCTCCCACGGCGCCGCCAGGCCCGACGGTCGCGGGAAGCGCCCCGCGAAGCCCGCGGACGCGAACCTGGCTGCCCGGGGTCGGCAGACGGGTGGACGCTCCGAGGTTTCTCCGCGGAATAGTGTCTACTTGCGTCGGGCGAGACGTGCCGCCGTCACCTGTGCTGGTGCCCCGGGCGTTGTTCGGCCGTGGCCACTGGGCCGCCGAACTCGCGCCCCCCAGCCGGCGCTCCAGCCGCCGCCGTGAGAGCGCTGG